TACAGCTTTTGGAAGACGAATCTTCGGTCACTCCGGGACCTTCGGAAAAATCGAATGGAGCAATTATAGAACGAAATAAATAACTCACTCAAACGATTGAGGGGACGTAAATCATCAGACCTGGTTTTGAACGCCTCAGGCAGTGACATATCATGTTTGCATGGATAGCCAAAAGTTAATAAAACAGAAAAGTCATTTCCAACTCTTCTGCCGATGTATTACCACCATTTACAGCTACGACATACAAAACAGCGCACGGGCTAGTGAATCCCTGAAACCTACCCATCAGAATATGAAACAATACAATTTGAGAGACAGTTCTTGCAATAATTCGGGATCCTCAAATACACGAGCACAAAAGTGACATTCGACTTTTCATTGTTGTGATTCCGCTCATCTCATACGAAAATAAACCTAGTGAATAGACGAAAGAGCCTATTCCACTGTCAAACGGATTTTCTGTTCGAGTACAGACCTCCTACCTCCGTCACCGATGATCTAAATCCGGGAATCCAGAGTGGCAAACCGCCCCAAAGTCCCAGAGTTATAATTCGACAAGGCAGTCCCCGACTGAGGAAAGCCATTTATTCGTAAGAACGATACAAGTATGGGTAAACTGGGTTACTGAAGTATCTCATCTGACCCAATCAGATCGCTTTGTTTGCTCGTTCAGCTCAGGTAATAGAGATATCAATGAGGTCCTGTGGTTAACTACTCGAAGTCCCGTGAGTAAAGGGTAGATCCCGTATATATGATACATGCTCGGTTACTGCTCATTACAAAACAAACAGAAGAAAACACGAACCAGCTACGGGACAATACCATCCTCGCATTTGTCTTTGAAGCGGTCAGATCCCAGGATGCCTTTATAACGACCGATTAAATCTATGGATTACAGATATTGCCCGATATTACAACCCCAATGAGTATTTGAACGGACACCTTAGCATAAAGCGAATATCTGTCACACGGATTTACACTGCAGCTAACCGGAGTTCCGGTGCCCAGTAATGGTTATTGTTTACTTTCTTAACTGTATAATTGAAAGGGGAAAAGCAGTTGCACAACCAGTTTTCAAGAAAGAAAAACTGAGCAAAGAGCTACAGCGGGATACAAAGCATTGGGGACGTTAGACAGTGATAACGGAAATCGTACGCACACCTCCGAAGTGATATCATGGTGATCTTACACCAGTGGAACACCGCCACCAGAAACAAAATTTAGAGATGAATTACTGCTTCATGCACAGCTGTCTGAGCAGAAACTGTGGTTCAGTGGCGAGCACTTTAGAAAAGTGAGCACTTCCAAATTCCGTGATTTACCACGTGAGTGGATGGATAACTAACTTCAACTGACTTCTGTTTGTACACACCGCCAATCAGTTGCACCGGTCTTGTACAAGCGCTGATTTGGTTTACGTACTCAGCTCACTTCTTTTTTTGTGAAAAGAATTTTTTTCGAGGAATGTAAATCTTTCCAAAAAGCACTCGTTTGACACGCTTCTGTGGATTAAAGTGACGGGTTCATTCGAAATCAGCGATCGTGTTCTTCAGGAGCATCTCATTTCGTCATCTATGCTCAACTTCATCATCACAGACAAAATATTGCACCATCGTAAAACTGTGCTATTGAAAACAAGCGGATGACGTCGAAAATCGTCTGCTCTCATGTATGGATTGCCTGCAAATCTCAAGTCACATACGGAAAAGGACTGCTACTTCACCTGGTATCGACAATCACTGATCTGAAACCTAATTGCCGAGCATTGGTTTTAGCCACGTGTTTCTTCAACCCAGGCAGTTTTCAGGACTACCGATGTTGAGTTGCATATTGAAAATACATACACCTAGTCAAGTTTAGAACGGAGTAAGCCGGGCTGAAACATCTATTTTACGTATCGTTTATCATCACCGTACAGCGAACTTNAGGTGAACAGGAATAGGGCCTATTATGAGGGAGAGGAGAGAAAGTAAACCTCTATCGTCAACACATGGTACACCGTCGAACTGCGTATACATACCTTTACAAGCGTTCTGGCTCAATAAGAAATAACAAGAACACCACTGTTACTGGTTCCCTGCCACATCCTTCCTTCAGTGATGTCAAACCACCAGTTATGGTTATTTGGAAACTAACGTGGAAGACGAGACACATAATCCACCTAATAGCTATGCACAATTCTTCAGATCTCGTCTCTTTGTCATTTGTGGACTTTTGCTGAATTTTACAGATTCACTGTACACCTAGGGCTGATGAGAAAGCCGCCATTCCATCANTGAGGAGCAAAACAAGTAACTGATTTTTTTTAATTTCAAATGGTGGTAGGCAGTTTCGCTGTCATACGGCTCAATATATCACGCCTAACCTAGTAGAGCTTTATGTGAGAAGTTACTACTCCAGGTCCCGGGGTTTAGATTGCCGGTTTTCACAAGTGACTAGCAGATCCTCGTGACTGTGGGGTTCCCTTGTTCGTCACAAAAGAGTGTGTTATAAGAAAATAACTTCATCGATTCTTGGTGTCATACCAATCGATTTGTGAACGTGACGCGTATGTTATTCCACGCCCTGATCAAAGCACCTTGCACAGAATGAGCAAGAGCAACGTTGAACATTTAAGCCAGTGTTTCTTCTGACATGAAAGCTAAGCTTGACTGAGTTATGCCGCGTGGCTTCTAAAGCTGCCCTCAATGGAATCGTATTATCTGTATCGAGAAATCACGGTTTATCTGAACATACTGTGACGGACAACTCAAAATACGAGGGACAAACGAGTGAATACCATGCACATGCCTCACTGTTCAAATTGACAGAGGGTATCTATCAATACGAGGTACCCTGGATATCCTCCGGTTAAGCAGAACCGAATACTACCAGGCGCGCTCCCGGGTTGTGGATACGGGGATACCTCCCCCGAAGAAGGTTAGCTGTGAATAAATTGTGACATACCGCAACGAATAAGCAGTCGCGAATAAACAGTGGCGGCACTACCAGGGTGTGGTGGGTTTAAGCCTGGTCACCTGGCTCCTGTTTAAAAACTGCATAAGCCCAATGACGGTGGTGGCCCGGTGGTAACGTCACCAAATTATCACCCCGGAGGTTGTGTGTTCGAATCCCACCACCACCGCCTGACCTCCCCCATTGTGTGTTAAATGGTAGCCCTTTGATTGGCCGCTTCCTCCTTCCTGAAAATAGTATCTTTGCACATTTAATAAAAGGAAGTAAAATAAAAAGAAAAGAATGATGGTGTCGTGACGAAGGTCGATGTGGCAGACTTTTTAAAACTAAAGTCATTGATTCCCTCACTTTCGAGGTGAGGGATTGCTTCCTGCTGCCTTACAGTCGCACCTCGTTGTGCAAAGGCTAGAGGTGCGCCCTCAAAATAAAAAAACGCCGAGTGTGGATGGGGGCATCTCTCGTAGCAAACTCCCCAATAATTTCATGATCATGTCTGGAGCCGGCTTATCCTTTCCAAGGAGCTAGCCGTGGTAAAGCAAAGTAATATGGGGTACAACGTGGATGAAGGGAGAGTAAACTTATCATTTTGCAACGATATGGTAGTACTGAAGAATGGTGTCATATTCCACAGGGCCATGTGTTGATAACACAATCGGTATTTTTTTAATTTAATACAAATTCTCGACGGCACGGGGGGGGGTTGCCTCTCAAGGACGCTTTGGTCAACAGGCATTCACCAGAACTAATATCCATTGATCATGAGTGGACAGTCATTTGGGGGGAGGGGGTGGGGCGGGGCAAAAAAGACGAGTGCTTTGATCACAGTATGAAATCAAGTGTATGTGACGTTCATAAATTGACTGATTAGGTGATGAAAAATTCCGTGAAATAATTGCAGCAGAAAGAGAAAATATCAGATAGAAAAAATGTGTTACTTGAATGTTTTATAGGTCCAGTGTTACAACAGTCAAATATTGGAACCCGACTGATATTGACAGACTGGAGAGCTGCTGATACAAAATAGTGTATTTGTGGACGTGTCATTTGTGCTGACTTTATGTGCACGCACAACGCAGCGAAGTCAAGGTATATGCTCACCGGAGCACCACGCTACTGGGTGTCTCTAAGTAGCGGATAGCACGATCACTTCGTTGATAAACCAGTGTTGTTTTGCTGAATAAACAAGGGTGGACGATCAGCGGCATTGTATGGGGACCTGGGAGGCGATTTCTCTGCAACCATACAGTACATATACCGAGACGTGAGCGGATGCGACTTACCATCAAATGAGGCCATCCTCACCACCCGTTATTCTACAGACGGTATTTCGCTGTCTAAAGGCCAAAGGTGCATCCTCGAAGAAATAGAGCTGAGTGGTACTGGAGGAGTCATTTTCTAATGCATACCTAAGACTCCTTATAAATGTGTCAGAGATGCTGAGTTGTCCTCAAGAAAATCGTACTATGAGACGCTGTTCACTTTCCCTCTCTCTCTATCAAGAACGTTTGCTTCCTGTTCACTTTGCAAAATCATGTTTACCTTACGCACATTATGCGCCGAGCAGTGATCAGTATGCTGGTAAGGATAATCACCCCGAATCAACATAGTTCCTTCTAGAACGAATAGCATTTTCTTGGATAAGCTACGGCATTAGGTTCGAATCGTAGTTATCAAAATTTTTAATATGATGGTGGTGGTGGTGGCGGTACCGATATCACAAGCCGAGAGACCGGGAATTGATTAGCAAACCAAGTTACAGTTGGACAGGTGCTTGCGGTTTCTCATTGAACGACAGTAGCGAAGTGTAGCACAACTGGAAAGATCAAATGCGGTCGTGAAAATCTCGTCGGATAAATGACAAACTGAACGATTTCAAATTATTGATGCACTTGTGCCCAGAACCAGATACGGGTAGTAACATGCCACAGAGACAGACAGGAACAAACCTGCAAATGTGGGAGATGCGTACAAACCTCCGGACCAGTCGGGTTGTGTGAAAAACTGTTTCGCACGATAGTCCGCATTGCGATACATAATCACCGAAGTACCTTTGGCTGCGAAGCCATACTGAAAAAATGCGGGAGGGGCGGGGGAGTAGCGATAGAAACCAAAACAAACTACAGCACTGTTTCATGCTTACGGTTTGGATTACATATGAAAAGAGTATGGGTTGAGATTAATGCTTCGTCCAGTCTAAGAGTAAAGAAAAAGCTCAACAGGACTATATTTGGCTATTAGTGTACACTGCATTAACTCAATCAGGGATAACTGTATGAAAAATAAGGAGTTTTACTGTTCTTGAGCAGTTTTATCTGAGGGTGGATGAGATCTCGTTCTTATTCCACGAAATGCTCTCACGGAGTGCGTTTTGTGAACTATCGACAATGAAAAACGGATGAATTGTCAGCTCGCATACAGAAGGCTCGGTTGGCATTTGCCAAATTGAGACATTTGTGGCACCGTCGCGACATCCGGCTGTCTGTGAAGGGTCGATCGCATGCTGCGGCAGTTCGGCCAGTTCTACTATACGGCGCAGAAACTTGGCCATTTAGAAAACAGGATAAAGATAGCCTGTCGGTGTTTGAACACCGCTGTCTACGCAGCATTGCACGAATCTGATGGGGCAGCCGGATGAACAATGCTGAGTTTAGGCGTTGAGTTTTAGGTATTCGCGGTCGCCCATTGGAGCCAGCCAGTTTATGACACTCAGTGATATGGCTGGGTGTCGTAAACAGTGGCGTTTGTACATCTTATCAATCTCTCCGCAACATTAGTCCAGTGAAATTCTTCATTTTCTGTTCGACTCTACCTACAACCTCTCCTGTCCTTCTAATATTCATCCAAATGGGCATCCAAAGGACAGGAACCAAAACCGGAGCACGATGGTGCATGGTTAATGGTTACTCAAACTGAAACCTGAATTCTTTATTTTCCATTAGCACTGTTGTCAACATTCCAATCTTCCTTCTAATCCTTCATTCAAATGCACAGTTAACAGACAGCAAACAAAACTGTTGCAAGAAAGTGCATAGTTATTGATCGCATACCTTAACTAAAACTAATACACGGTGACATTGTCGGGTAGATGAAACAGACAACCAGCTCATCTTAGGAGGCTGTAAAACCTCTGATTGTAAACCTTACTGGAACCATAAGAACTAGATTCAGAAAAAACTTGATCACGAACTTTACAGGCTCGCTTGGGCACACTGTGAGTGAATCACATCTCCATTGTTTAATTGATTGAATACATACAGTCGCCAGCGCTAGCAACAGCACTTTGTTGCGCTGCGAGGCATGCTTTGGGCTGCTGAAGGCTCTGGTTATCCATCCATTGTAAAACCACCTGCATCGGTTTGGACAAGCTAGTGGTATCATCACGCACATGCACAAATCACAAATAGCTTTCTGTCATTAAGATTTCTGCTCGACACGTGGTACGGACCCGGACAAGTGTAAGACATGATCACAAAATAATGTTATGTGAAAACGCCAAGAGGAACAAGAGACAGAGTTAGGCTGGGATTCAAAACGGTAATTTGAGACGGAAGTAGAATAAAATACACCCCGAGTGATTAGAAGTGGAAAGCACTGGAATCATGAAAATTGTCAATACAGAAAAAGGGAGGTATTCAACTGAATTCCTACAATTCNAATTCTGGTATTTATATACGGGTTGCTGAAACGGATAAATCAGTTGCACAATGATACCAGACAAACTGTGGACGGGTATTCGATGATCATGACCTATTTCCACTGTCGAATTCTCGCGGTAAAACCGATAGATTTGTACATTTGAAATGCCAGAAAAGTGAACTGCACAACCTGGGCATATGTTTACACATGGATTGTGATTCTAGAACTTCGTACGAAGTTGGTAGACAATCATAATAAAGACTCGTCATAGATCTATCCGTTTTTATCCCTCGTTGAAGATATATATATATATATATATATCAAGTATATGAGCAAATTGTGACAAGAGAGTATCATTTAATCCCATCCTATTTTAACTGGGTCGAATTTGATTCACAGTAGAGTGACAAGAGGCCTATGGAGCACCATTTCGCAATAGTTACAGGGTGTGCTGTGTCTGACAGTTGATAGATTACGATTGAGTTGGTATACAGAGTTAGGTGTTCTTTAACCAGGGGCACAGGTGTGCTCCTCATTCTGTGCACAGTCAGTCATGCTTTGTAGCATACAGTCACACACGGACGACACTACAAATAACAGAATGAGTTGAAATAAGTCATTTCCGGTGGTGGACAAGGAATTTATATAAACCCATAGGATCATGGAACATATGGTTCGATAATAGATCTTATACCTTTCGTATCCGAAACCATGGATGATCAACCCGTTTCAATCCCTGTGCTCTTCTGTGTAATATGACTGTTTACGATGAATTGGTCATAGTTTGTTTCCGTTTGTATAATCATTGACCGTACACCTTCTTACTGTCCTTCTAGTCGGTCTTCTGACTATCCATTTTTGTGAAAAAGCAGAGGGAAGAATAGAATGTTGAAAGCAGTTTCAAGGCGAAAACAGAGAAAACTATTAAACCATGATGGGTTAAAAAGATGCACAAACGACATACGGCCATGTCATACAGTGTCTCTAATCATCGGTTATACTGACCTCGAGATCTCCATCCAGGAAGCCCAACGTGACCCAGATGACGGAAATGCCTGGCTAGGGTTTTTATTCCCTCGCATGAGAGGTTTCAGTTTCATCACTTTTTACCCTTTTTTCTATCCACTTGATGAAGAAAATGTGAAATGAAAATCTGGGAGGCATTGTAAATTATTTATTGTCCATCTTCAATAGTACATATCTATTACCTTCATCTTTTCTCGCATTTCAGACTGAGTCCGGAATCTCAAAGGCAGAATACAAATGCACCGTCTAACTCAATAACAGATATCTCGTTAGACTGACCACCTATTTCTGTTTGGTCCATATAGGGTAGGGTGTAGCCCGTCTGTGCAAGATAATAAAATAGATTCTCACCATTAACCCTAGCAGGTCAGTGAAACTCCCGTTCCCATTATTTAGAGTGAATCCAGTTGATCAATGAATTCATGTAGGGAACTAATGAAATTTGAACTGAAAAGCCAGGATTGCGGTAACGGGACGGGAGAACAATGGACCGGAACACGAGGTGTTTACGATCTTCAAATAACTGAGGTTGCCATCATTAGTAAGAACCCAGTCACGGAGTTATCGACCGATGCATGGTTCTCGACGATCGAGTCAACACATCATGAACAGTCGTAAGAAGAAGAGACGGACCATTTACCAATGTCTAGTTCCAAAGGTCGGAGATAAGCCAACAACATGAATTGCGCATCGTTTTGCTGTGCTGCTGAAAATGAACTGCATACCATGGGATGTATGAATGAGCGGATCTTGAACTTGGTCGATAGACATTTGTCTGACCTGCTCTACCAAAATGTGTGGAGTATTAAAAACCGTTGGCAGCACCTGGATTGCGTGTTGGATCTAAATGTCACCACGCACAAATAAACACGCGCACGAAAACACTAGGATCGAATTTGGTTGACAACAAGGAACATAAGTAATCCTGCATGACTAATCGTTAGATGTCACTTAGATCATCCCAAAACTATGATGCGATGAATGGTACGCGGGAGCGACAGACGGACAAATACACCACAAACTTGCCCTGGGATGTTCTGCTCTAAGGTGCAAACGCATGGTCAGTCACGAGGTCAAAACCAGCGAAAAAAGTGGTACCGCGGCAGAAATGTCTGTTCCAGAACGCATTGCGTTCGATCAATCAGTGCAACCGGTAGATCGAGATCGATCAGCTTCATGTGACCGTCTTATGACAGCAGATATTGATTGGTGGAAACGCGCATAGCCACGGCGGGTAAGAGATTCAACCCAAAGTCGAGTTGTGTTCTTCTACCAATTCGGAAAGGTTGGTCACAACCGTGGCATCGGAAATCTAACAACCTTTTTTAGGCATGGGCACACATGTCGATGATAAGAAAATGTGTGTGATCCGACAAGTAAGTTTGAAACGTGTACCAGAGTGGTTAGATGCTGATCACTGACGGGAGTTTTCGCCGTCAGTTCTTCTGAGTGCCGAGGAGGCTATTCAGTTCCTCTGTTGATGTGAATATAGCTTACGAAAATTCTCCACAGTTATCCGGACAGGAATGGTTAATTCTGGTAAAACAAACAATCAGGTTAGTCGAATGTTAAGTGAACACTGTTCTTGTTAGAAAAAAACGGAGACATATCAGGAATCTCATGGTATGCAGCGCAAAAAACGGGTTGTAATGAAAATCAGTGGAAGGCAATCTAACCACCGCAACATGGAGTAACTGACCTTGTGCGTATCACAGGAAATGCTCGTGACACCCGGTAGACGAAAATCGAAAGGTTCGATCGGGAAATCGGCCCGATCCATGAAGGGGAGAAGAAATCCACCCAGACAACAATCCACGTGAACTGGGATGCCGAATTTTCGACCGAGCTTTAAAATACACGGATAATAATTGGGAATGGAAAACCCATTCGGGATCAGCGATGATAACCAAAAAGAAACTAATACCTATCGTACAAAAACAACTATTCAAAGGTGAGAGGGTACACAGGAATGAACTGCAATCAGAAGAGAAGTGTTGTGATTTTCATTAGAGTGGTGGTGGTGCAGTGGTTAAATCGCTGTCACAGGCGTGCTTTGGACCCTATGGTCCGAGGTTCGAGCCCCGCCACCGCCACCCAACTTTGGTCGTAGGCAGCTTTGCTGTCGTACGGTTCAATACCACGCCTAACCTAGAGTGGCCTTATGTGGTCCGCCACTCCAAGTCCTGGGGCTTAGGTTACCGGTTTCCACCACCGAACAACGGGTCGTCGTGACTATGGAGTTCGTCCCGTCTGTTGTTCATCATACTGAAGTGCGTAATAAAAAACTGGAACCGGACTGCTGAGATAGACACATAACGAAAGAGGTTGACACTGTCACGGAATTGCGTTTTTCTGTACACTGATTCAACACATTCTACGAGATCAACTTTGACCGTTCAGTTGTGTCGTCCGTGTGTGTCTGTATGTTACAAAGCATGTTTGTGCAGAAGTTGAAAACTTTCAAAAGATTGATGTATATGGTTCACACCAATCACGTTTGTTCCCAAAAGGAAACAAAAAAAATGCGGTGGGAAATGTTGACTCAAATACAATCCCATTGTGGGAAGATTTCTATGGACGAGGGAGATGAGCAATTAGAAACGTACAGACCAGTAAACAAAACCAATCATATCATGGCACGCGTATCCATCCCAATCACTTCCACACCACAAGACCATAATTGGTTGGCAATGCACAGTCGAACAGAAGATTTTCCAGATTATGGGAACTGCTCCTTCCACTTAGTGTTTATAAGTATAATGAGTACAGCGAAAATGATTCAACTGTGAGAAAGATTCATTGACTCGGTGATAGTCTATAAAACAGCAACTAGGCGAACGAAATATTCCGTTTCTATTTAGACAACCAAGAACCTTGTTCTTAGGGAGGGGGACGGTTTTGATTTCACTTTTTTGGCTGGAAATGGGCAGAAGAAGTAAAAAGCTGAAAGTAGGCTGGTCGTAGATATCACTGTGAATACCTTTGCAGTTTGGCGACCCTGAGGTTAAGGGTGAAACAGGTGGGGGTGATTCCACGTTCAGTGTAGGGCGAAAATCTATTTTAAGTTGGTTGTGAATGCTTATGAATACTCGTTAGAATTCCATTCAGTTTGTTTGAAGACCAAACAACTTCATTCAAGACTTTGTTGCTTCTTTTGGTTAATTTTACGACCCAAATTCTTGAACGACTCAGCAAAATTGGTTTCTTTTTCAGTCTTTTTCCAGTATTCTTCAGTTTTTTTATTCGGTTCCTTTGTCAATACTCCAAGACAAAATTCATTCTTTTAGTTATTCAAGTTGACGCGAACCATTTTCTTTGTTATGAAGATTATTCTATCATGATTTATTTGGAACACAAATTTGGACTCAAACGGAGGTGAAATATAATGATGGTGAGGATAATAACAATGAAAAGTAGTTCGGCAATTTGTGTGTATTGGTATACAAACTACGGAACTATTTTAGCAAATGTGAACACCGTACCAAGATGAACAAAATAACCTTGAAAACTTAAAACAACAGTTCTGAGAGGCGTTTAAAAAAGCAACTTGTTTATCAACACGATCCCCTCCCTCCCTGTGCTTCAAATATGCGTACAGTATCACCCGGTGCTGGGGCTGCTTCTGACTGGCATACATTCTTCAATAATTTGTCACCTCAATAAAAGTACGTGAAGGGCCTCGGTATCTTTTGCGCATTCTTTTCCACATGGATAGTGTGATGAAAACCCGGTGAGCCTTATGTCCAGGGTAAAATTGATCAGATACCTACTGTTTATGATAGACAATCATATGGCCTTATTTATAATTCATTTATAATTACATACACATCGAAAAACAATAAACGTTACGATTTCCAACAGTTAATAAACTGTGGCAGAACAAAAGAGACCACGTTATTAGGTACGTGATGGGATTTGATCACAGTTGCCTGACTCCATGTAAACAACTGCCCAGGAGCAGTTCCCCGTCAAAAACCATGGTGACTAAATTCAACGACAGAAATAGCTTACTAATAATTATTCCACATGAAGCCCTGTGCGTAGATAGACGGTATGCTGATAATTCCAAAGTGAGCGGCCATTTGTTTTTCGACAGGATAACTCTGACATACACATGACCCTATTGTTCCCACTGTATGCACTCGTTTCCCCGAGAGCACAGAAGAGCCCAGGCATAAATCATCTCTTTGATCACAGATTACTATAGGCCCACCGAGTCTTAAATACAAAAACCGGGAAACTAATCAACATATTATTGACCAATGAAAAGTTTCCAAATATTACCTATGGGTAAATTATCCCACGCGGTGATAAGTGGACATCATGAACGAATCTATGGAGAATATGGTACTAAATGGCACTCCAGTATTATTTACACTTTTCATTCCAGGATGCGCCTAAGTTTCTTGTAAAAAATAAAGTGCCACCGGAAGAATAACAGAGTAATGGTGATCGTGGCGGATTAGACACGACTGAATACGGATGTTTGTGGTTTTTCATCGCGAGATCGTCTGCCGCGCGCAACAACCCTTCATTTCCTCGGGCCTCGCCGGCGATCGTCGAGTCTGCCTACTTGGTGAAGCAATGCAAAAGTAAGGCCAGTGTTGGAATACACAACATATTCCTATCCGATAGAATTCGATAGCCTCTGAGTGATTGACCTCATAACTTGAACACTGAGTAATATCCGATGGGTGGTGCATCTCCAAACGTTTGGGAGTGAGAAGAGAAAGTGGACAGTTGATAAAGATGATTTTCCAAATAGGTACCTAAAACTTTGGGGCACTTCGCGGTTGCCCACACCGACGTAGGGGTTCGTCTTTGGGAACCCTAATCGGAGTATTTGACTCAAAAGTCTGACCCACAATACAGTGGGACGTAGATCCAATGCGGGATCGTGACCGAAGCACCCGTGTAGGAACTTTTAGAGACCTATCACGCAAGGCCTTTGAGTTTCGGTTCAGAGCGTTGTTCGC